AAGTTATCGTCTTCTCCGTCATTCTCGATTTCTGAATTCGCCGTGATAACATTCTCCTTCTTTCGCAGAATACGCGTATACACTAAAAGTGGACGAGAAGAGCGACGTTTACAGCTTCGGCGTTGTACTTCTAGAGCTGATCACCGGCCGGAGACCTGTGGGAGAATTCGGCGAAGGCATAGATATCGTTCACTGGGCTAAACTAATCACAAATTGTCGAAGAGAAGAAGCGGTTAACAATATCGTCGATCCGAGGCTAACAACCGTGCCCAAAGATGAAGCAATGCATCTGTTGTTCATCGCGATGCTATGCGTACAAGAAAACAGCGTCGAGCGTCCGACGATGAGAGAGGTGGTTCAGATGCTATCGGAGTTCCCTCGTCCACCTGACAACCGAACTTCATCTTCTTCGCTCATTGACACTCAACAGAAAAAAATATTGACCTGAGATCCGTATCTAAAGATGGCGTTTGCAGATTTAGTGTTACAGTTGCTATTTGCAAAGTACATATCTTTTTCTTTTTACTTTTTTTATTACCAGTTTAGGTTTTTTTTTGCATAGCAGGAGCTATATATATATATATATATATATATATATGAGATACGATTGTTATACAATGTAATTTTTTTAAATTTAGAACCGTTGAATCAGTGAAAATATATTTATGGGATTAACATTAAAGAGTCAATCTTAGTCTATTTTCACTCATCAAATGATCCTAAATTAGTATAAAATTAAAGAATTTTACATTATATAAGTGGATGCTAACATATATATATATATATATATATATATATATATAATTGAGAGTAATCAATGGGTGGAGTGTTGTATTTTAGTATATAAATTTGTTTTATATTTTACTCTTAACATGTTTGAAATCATATCTATGTTGTGCATGCTGCATGCAGTATAATAATTGGTCCTCCTTAGGGATACATATTGTTAATGATTTTAGGGTTTTAAAAATTTAAAGTAGAGAGAAATGATAGAATTTGAAGAAGGAAAGAAAGTGAAGAAGAAAAAGAGATTAAAAGTAATATATATATATATATATATAGTAAAATATTATAAGTCAAATCAAATATTTTTCACTTTGAATTAATTTTTTTGGATAAGTAAGTTATATTCCATCCGAAGAAAATACAGCAAAGCTGTTACAAGAGAACAATCACAATCTATATCAGTCCCCAATTTATGTACATGTCTCTATTACCATCATCTATAATGTGTAAACTAAGGCTATACAATTTAATTTTCACTGCTTCCTTAATTCTTTTAACAGTATGCTCACTTGATCGAGAAAGGCCCCTAAATAACATGAAATTGCGTTCTTCCCACACGTGATACAGAAAACCAGTCCAGGCCAACTTTAAAATTCTTGTTCGAAGCGATTTACCCTTCAGACTCACAACCAGCCAATTAAGGCGTTGGTCCCAACTGTCAGCAATGCTATGAATCCCACATAGCCCCAGGACAGCATTCCAAACATTCCTAGCATATGAGCAATCTGCAAATAAATGGTTGCGCGTTTCCATACTAGAACCACAAACAACACAAGCATCATCATTAACCACACCAAAACGAATAAGCCGGTCTCTAGTTGGCAGCCTATCGAGGATGACCATCCACGAAATTAAGGAAAATTTTGGTATGTGGGAAGGGAACCAAATGATCTTATGCCAACTCACCTTCTCCCTGCTAATTCTAATGTTGTCCCAAATCCATTTGCTTTTTATCAGGCTCAAATTTGCACTGGGAGAAAACAGTCTACTCGCATCATCCCGCAACCTCAGTAGTTTGTTTAAAATCCAGCTATATTGAGGCTTACAACCAACCTCCCAATAACTTTCAACTTTAAAGCAATAAACTTGTAACCAAGCGATCCACAGAGAACCTTCATTAGCCAGGATATTCCTAATTAGCAGCAAGCAACAAGATTTACTCCAAAGAGCAAGGTCTTTAAGTCCTAGTCCACCCTCGGATTTTAAAGAACAGATCTGACCCCAACCCACACGGGCTCCTCTAGCTGAGGCGTCACAACCTTTCCAGAAAAATCGCATACATAATCTCTCGACATCCTTGATGAATCCTTTAGGAATGATAAGCTGCCGACACCAAAAATTAAAGATGCTAAAGAGGACAGATTTGACTAGCTACAATCTCCCTCCAAAGCTAAGCTTTTTGCTGGACCATTGATTCAATTTGTCCTTTATTCTTTCCAACAAAGCGGCACAATCCTTACTAGAAAGTTTGCGGGTGACTAGGGGAACCCCTAGATACCGGACTGGGAGCTGCGCCATACGAAATCCAGTGGCTAACCGAATCTGATCAAGAATGATTTGATTCAAGCCACACGCGAATAATTCAGTTTTAGAGACATTCAGCTTGAGTCCTGAAAATTCATAAAACTTTTCCAAAGTACTCTTAACACCAAGCACCGAATCAAGGGAACCATGGCAGAATACTAGGAGGTCATCCGCAAAGCAAAGATGAGTGAGCTGGATTCTTTTGCATTTTGGGTGAAATCTGAAAATTCCCTTCCTAGCAGCAATATTCAAAAGCGATGACAAAACATTCATCACAAGGACAAACAAATAGGGTGACAAAGGGTCACCTTGCCTAATCCCCCTTGCACCCTTAAAATAACCCACCAAACTGCCATTCAAAGAGACCGAGTACATGGGTATAGTGATGCACACTTTAATCCAATTGCAAAATTTGTCAGGAAGACCCATCGCTTCAAGAACGGCCAGCAGGAAATCCCAATTGACAGAATCAAATGCCTTCTGGAGGTCTATTTTAATAGCACATCTAGGAGAAAGACTTTTCCTAGAATAGCCCTTGACCACTTCCTAAGCTAGCAATGTATTTTCCACAATATTCCTACCCTTAACAAATGTTGTTTGATTCAGGGAAATCATTCCAGGGAAATAAGGGGCAAGTCTATTAACAAGGATTCTAGTTATTGTTTTATATACCACAGAACAGCAAGATATGGGCCTAAAATCTTTTGCCAAAGAAGCATTAGGAGACTTAGGAATCAGCACTAAAGCTAGCATTAAACGCAGGCAGCAGACAAGAGGTTTGAAAAAAATACCTCACCGCAGAAATAAAGTCCTTGTCCATAATGTTCCAAGCGGCTTTGAAGAAACCAGACGTAAACCCATCAGGACCTGGACTTTTATCCTTCCCTTGCATGAATAAGGCCTCCTTGATCTCCAAATCGCTAACTTCCCTGATGAGGAGAGAAGTAGCACCATCAGACAAAGAGTATTTCAATAAATCAGACAGACATTTAGCAGGGAATCCCGAAACCAAGGGATCAGCTGAGCCAATGAGATTGGTGAAAAATCTTACTAACTCATAAGTCATTTCATCAAAAGAATCATATTCTGGTCATCCTCACCCATAACAATTCTAATAGTGTTTCGCTTCTTATTAGCTTGAGTACTTTGAATTAATTGTCTCAAACTTGATTATCATTTTTAAAATAAAAATTGATATGTTTCGTCTCGAACCTATTTTATTTTAAATAAACTCTATAAAATCAAATAAAAATTCATCGATTCTAAAATCTTACGTTGATCCGTTACTGTCATCTCCGTCAAGCTAACCAAAACCGATATCAAACTTCACTTCCATGTAAATCAAATATGGATTTACTGATTTCAATTGCTTTGTTGTGTATGCGAAACAAACAGATATTACTTCTATAGATAACCGATAAAGTTGAATTGATCCGTTAGATCAAGCGGTGACTGAATATATATATATATTTGATGACTAAATTGATAGCATCTTAAAAATTGAATGACCATTTGAAGACTTTATCCTAAATAACAAATGGGACGGGATAACTGAATCGCCTCTCCTGAAATATAACGAATGGATTCCAACCTAACCTGACCGTGTTAGATTTTAAAAAAAAATGGAGTTAGAATCGGGTCCGATTTAGCATAAAAAATATCAGATTCAACCCAAAAAAATTATAATTTTATCTTATATATTTTAATAATAATTGTAATAATATCTTTTTTATATTATTTTATTTCAATTAAATCATTATTTTTATTGAATAAAAATAATATTTTTTTTAATAAACATGTTTTTTTGAATCGGGTCGGATTTAAATTTTATCTCAAAAAACTGGATCGATTTCAACAAGAGTGAAAAATGTATATTGTTTTGAGTCGTGTTCGGTTCAGGTGAAGGATTTATAATTTTCGAGCCGAGACATTTGGATCGAAAATCCAACCTGACTAAATCCATACTCACCCCTGTTTAAAATCTCTCATGGTGCGTTTGGTTCACGGAATATAAGATTACCAGTAGAAATGTAAGATTACCAGGGAATATGATTACTTAGAATGTTGTATTTTGTGTTTGGTTGGTTTAGCAGGAATGTAAGATTACCGTGTTTGGTTAAAGGAATAAAAGATTATTGTAATGTATATTTGACCAAATTATCCTTATTATATATATTTTTTTAACAAGTTGGAAAATATTTATATATTTTCTTTAAAAAATTTAAATTCATAAAATTTATATATTTTTTACAAAATTGAAAATATAAAAACATTTAATGAAAGGGTAAAATTTTATTTTAATCCATAAACTTATATAAAATTTTAATTATAGATTTTTTTTGTAAATCTAAAATAATTTAAGGATAAATTTATAATTTAACCTTCGTAGAATTTTTATTATGCAATGACAGAAGAATGATATTTTTGAGAAAAAAATTAAGGATATTTTAGTCCAAAACACCATAATCCAATAATACCTAAAGAAATAGAGGTAATGACATTACCGGTAATATACCTAAAAAATCTACTATTAATAATAAAACATTACCGGGAATGAGATTCCCGACCAACCAAACACGAAAATGTGAATTTCATTTTCATGAGAATCTCACATTCCTTGAACCAAACAACCCCTTAGCGTTTTTCCCACTTCCTTTTTCTACTCCATTCTCTTGAAGAAGGAAGGTTTCCTAGCTGGAACCCGACCCATCAGATCGGATCCGGTTTTTTCCAGGTATGTACGCCTTTCGATATGCGTTCCTCTTTGCTTCCCCCAAAAATTTGAAGTTGCTTACAGTTTTAGCAGAAGTATTCTTCAAAAAAAATTACAATGGGAGTTTTCTTTAAATAAAAAGTTTTTTTTTTCTTGTCAATTGTTTTAGTTTTCTTCTCTGTCGGTGCAAAATTCCCTTTTTATTTGTAAAATTATTCAAAACCCCCATTTTCCTCAGAATATCTCTGCTTTTATTTGATTTTTGTTTTCTCCTGAAGGCAACAGGAATTGACTAATATATATACACATACACGCACAGAATTTTTTCTTGGTCTAAAAAAAGGGTAAAATACACGTGAAGTACCTAAATTATCAATTTTGATCTGATTTAGTACCTACATTTTTAATTTTTTAAATCATACTTAATATTTTATTTTATTTTAACATCATACCGTTAAAAATTTTAGTAGAAAAACTTTCAGTTTTAGTCTGTTTTAGTAACTAAACTTTTTTTAACTTAACGTTAAATTTTGGATAGTAGTACTAAAATAAAATAAAAATTAAACTTTAAGTATGATTTAAAAAAATTAAATTTAGGTACTAAATAGATTAAAACTGATAGTTTAAGTACTAAATACATTATTTATCCTCTAAAAATTTTTGGAATTTATAATAAAAACAATATCTTTTACTTGAAAAAGAATACTTTGCTTCTCTTCATGAGAAAAGAATTGAATCTCCTTCTTCCACGCCTATTTGATGTGCCAACTTTCAATTTCATCACATTTCAATGCATTTTTGTTTTCTGAACAACCTTCTTCTTCTTGTTTAAATGACATATATTGTAATAAATTCTTTTAGTAATTTTTTAATATGATAAAATAATATTGAGAGATACCTTATGCGCTAAGTATATGACCATGACTTACCTTTCATGAAAGTAGGCGTTGAAGACTAGATCGAATTTATCCTCTTATAAAAGACTGCAAGCTCTTCTTTTTTGGTTAGGTCAATTGGGTTTTCGAATATTTGTTTGATATTTCGATAATGGCCGGTGAAAAGACCTTGGAGAATCGTATCCTTTGCTTCAGTTCTGATTATTTGTCATGCTTTCCTTGTATCAATGCATCTGATGGTTTATGATGTTTATAGATTAGCTGTTAGTGACCAAAACTCTGGTTTATGATCACTTAAGCTTGATAGTGGCCAGTAAACAATAGGTATCAGTGGGGCTTAATCCATTTGTTTGGCATCTTACTTATGGCTGATGGAATTGGTATATCAAAAAAATCCCTTTAATACTATTAATCAGCCTCATTATATCACCTTGATTATAATAAGCAGCAGGACTTTCATGTGCTATTATTAAGCTTCCCTATCGATGTCGTATGCCAGTTTTTCAATTTTGCACCGGAAGTTGTGATTGTGTGATATGTTTTTGTGAATGTTATGCTGGTTGTGGTTGTGTAATATGTTTTCTAAATGCTTTGTGATTCCCTGATGATATTACTTAACCATGTAACTTAGCGGAACCTATCGATGTGGTTTTGAAGTCTGAGCAGGATGTGGTATGTTGTGAATCTCTCTCAAAATTTTCGTTTATCTGGACTTTTTTTTTCCCTCAAAATTGATCTCTGTTTTGCTTTATCAACTATTGTGCATGGATTTTTGAAGTTGGCATGTTCTGATGTTTCCAGCCTTCTGGAAAACTTGGAATAGCATCTGATTTGACTTCCACAATATCTTCTACACCATATCCATTTTCTGGCACGAATCAAGGCTTGGCTGGAGAGCCTGGTGCCAAACAATCTACTGGCTTTGACAATTATTACTACCCAGGTTAGAGTTTGGCTTTCAGACACTATGTTAGAGTCGGTAGCCATGGGTTTTATTGCGAATGGGATTAAGTTTTCAGTCTATCTTTAATTCCTGTGATTCTTTAGATAGCACATTTACATGCCGACGTTTTGAATAATGATGAATTACATCGATACTGTATGTTTTTTAAATCACACAAAAAGGCAATTGTTGAAAAGTGTTCCTAAATTACAGAGGTTTCAGGATTCTTTATGAATTTGTAAATGATATTTTAAATTCATCCTCAAAATTTATATGACAAGCAAAATCTGTACTTGCTCAAGCTAATTCATGTTCCCCAATGAAGGATAAATGTTTTGAGGGGAACCTTTTTTTTTTGCTTTAGTTTACCATTGTACTTACCCGGTAAGCAGATTTAGTTTTGTAAAAGAATAGTAATCGGCAGTTTTTTTTTTAATTTTTGGTGCAGGTTATGATGGATCATTTACTCAATTTGATGATAAGGGCTATTTTCTTATTGATGGTTCACACACAGTATGTTATTAGTCCTTCACTGCACTTTTTGTTTATGAAAATCATCCCTTCATATTGGTTCCAATTTATCGTATCTTCACCTTATCATTCATATGGAATCACGAAGAAATGTTGATTTTTTTTTTTGGGGGGGTGGTGGTGTTGCTCCAGGGAGTGCAATCCGAAAATGGTTCCTTGGTCTACTATTTGCCTGGCTATAACCCATATGCAACTGGGGCTTTAATGGGTGTTGATGGGCAATGCCTTGGTCAACAACCATATTATTTGTCAGGATATTATCAGCCTTTGGTTTCCTATGGAGCAGAAGCCTTGCCTTGTTACACATGGGATTCGACATATGCTGTAGACGTTTCAAATGGAAACTTTGATGGTTTTGGAAATGTAGGATATGGCTCAGGTTCTGCTTTCTCAAAATCAAATGGCCTTGGTACCAAAGTATCGAGGTTTACTTATACTCAGCCTAACAAACCACTAAGCAAGGTACTTAAGTGTTCGCGGTGTCATTCGTTATATGATATTTCTATCAGCAAAGCTATTTCTTGATTTTATTCTGGTTTATGGTAGGCAGATGGTTTTGAAGTATTTTTTTTATGAGACAAGAATACTGCTGCTGCTGCAAATATTTTTAGAAGTGGTTTATAATGGCATGTTTACGAAGATATTTTGTGCTGGATTATTATAGGGTTTATGTCATTCATGAATTAATCTTCCATGTTGCAGCTAATTTGTTTACTTTGGACATCATTAGGATGTAGTGGAGGGTCATCACTTTTTTTTTTTTTTTGCAACTTTTTGCGCCTTGGGATCTCAAGGTTTTGATTATCTGAGTTCATGTTGCAGGGGCCTTATTCGGGTTCCGATCTATCCACGGGATCTTATAGGGGATACTACCAAGCTGGAAAATCTCCTTCATTTAACAACCAAAAACAAGGTCTTTACCAATACAATGGTCCTATGAGCTACAGAAAAAATGGTAGGGCATGGAATCAAAATGACAGATCTAAGAAATCCAACAGAGATGTTGACTTCGAAAACTCTGCTGAACTAACTCGTGGTCCAAGGGCCTCGAACAGGGCTGTTCCTTTCGACTTTTCTGTTAAGAAGGAAGGTTTGGGACTTAATTTATATAAAGATAAATACAACTTACCAGATTTCCGAACCGAGTATGAAAACGCAAAGTTCTTTGTCATTAAGTCCTACAGTGAGGATGATGTCCACAAATCCATGAAGTATGACGTGTGGTCAAGTACTCCAAATGGCAATAAGAAGCTAGATGCTGCATTCCGTGAAGCAGATACTGGAGAAGGTGAGACTGGCACCAAATGTCCCATATTCCTCTTTTTCTCGGTAAGTTGGAAACATAACTTTCTCAAGAGTTTCCACGGATAAAGGTCTCTCTAGGAAACAGTTTTCGTTGTGGTTTAATTAGTTAACAAAATCGTAGTAGTATTTTTATCCGAATTCTTATGTTGTTTCTTGACAATGTAATGTCAGGTTAATGGAAGCGGACAGTTTGTTGGGTTAGCTGAGATGATTGGCAAGGTGGACTTCAATAAAGATATGGAATTCTGGCAACTGGACAAGTGGAATGGTTTCTTCCCTCTTAAGTGGCATGTGATAAAAGATATTCCTAACAAGGTGCTGTTCCACATTATCCTGGAAAACAACGAGAACAAACCCGTAACACACAGTCGGGACACTCAAGAGGTATTTCGGTTTCTTCTTTTGCTCGACAACATTGTTATGCTTATAGTTGTGTATGTTGAAAGCCATTGAACTTTGTGGTATGTTCTACAATAGAACGGATGAACCAGTTTCTTCTCTTCCTTCTTCTCCCATCACCTGGTTGTGATTACCGTGATTATCGATGAAGACATTAATGGTATCTACTCGTTTTTCAGATTGGTCTCAAGCGAGGCTTAGAAATGCTCAACATCTTTAAAGTTTATTCAGAAAAATCATCGTTGTTAAACGACTTCGGGTTTTATGAAAATCGAGAGAAGACTCTTAACGCCAAAAAGAATCACAAGTCTGGCACTGTAGGATACATTGAAGGTGGTTTGACTGTGAGTTCTCTCAATCTCTCTCTCAACTAAACGGATCATTGTTTCATTGTTACCACCGTCACCTAGCATGCACACCCCTGAATATATTTAATATCCTAATTCATGACTTTGCCGTTCGATATCGGGGTTATTCCGTTCATGCAGAATCAAACGAAGAACAATGCAGATCCAGCACCCCTCATCAATCTGGCCATGAAACTATCCCCTAACGGATGCACTCGGAAGAGCGTTGTTGTAAAGAACCCGATAGCTAGTACCTTTCCTTCGGTCCCTGCACCATAGCCATTCAAGTTTTAACTTGGTTAAGATGTGCAAGGGGTTCTTTTTTTTAGTTTTTTTCTGCTTTAAAGTTATTTTCCTACGTTTTGTAGTTGACAAGCAGTGAATTTGAATTAGCTTTGGTTGGAGTTTAAAATTTCTTCTTTTATATGTTGAATTTGAAAAATAATGAACTGTTAAAAATCGTAAAATTGAACCGGATTAAATCGAATTTAAATGTAACCGAATAAATTCCTACTCCTACCTCGTGTATAAATCAGAATGAAAGAAAAAAATACGACAGCGGAACCAGCATGCAGATTCCCAGAATTTTTGGCCAAACACTAGTTTTTTCCTGGGAAAGCACCGCAACGCTTTCACTTACGAGAAAAGTTATCACTTTTCCAAGAAAAGGAATATACCGCGTTACAGATAATGGTAAATTATGTATTTAGTGTATAAACTATTCTTTTTAGTATTTAAACTTTCCAATTTTTTAAAATTATATCTAATTTTTAATTTTTATTTCATTTTAGTACTCGTCGCTTCAAAATTTAACGTGTTTATTACCTAAACCATCAATTTTAATATCGACGCGTTTATTACCTAAACCATCAATTTTAATACTCGTCATCATATCGACGCGCATCCGTTGACACCGATGCCTCCTCCGATAAGCTCAGTAGCGAAGGACGTGTTGCTTCTGGTAGTCTTGATAACGTTGGTGTTGTGAATAGTATGCCAGATAGAGTTGGATGTATCCTTCGTTTCTTGGGGCTCATGCAGCGAGGAATCGGGTGGTGACAGTTAAGCCGGCATCGAGGCCGCCAGTTCGAGGAGGTGGGGAGAGATTAGCGGAAAGGATTCAAGGTAAGGTGGTGGATGAGAAGCAGCAGAGTGACACTCCTTCCCACAAGGAGGAAGGAAGTCAAAATCGCCGCTTCAACGACAACGATGATTGAGAGGAGTTCGGTCGAGGAGGATCCAAGGGATGAAATTGAAGCGTTAGTTCATCTTCTTTTTGGTACGTTATGATTGTTCTTTTAAAGCTCAACTTTTATAAATGAAAGCTTAAATTAAAATGATAAAGCAAGAGTGGTAATTTATATACTTTTTGTTGGTTTAATATTATGGTTCTGAGTTCTAATAAAGTTCTTTGTTTCTTTTTTTATTATATATATATATGCACAGATTATTCTCAGTTGTATATATCCTTTAACTTATGTGAATCATCTGCGGAATAACGTTGCAAGACTAGAGGTAAGTGAATTTATGTACTCTTTTACGCAGGACTTTCGAATGCTTTTCTGTGACATTATGCTATTTGACCTACAACATTGATTTTGGTTAAATTTTAATTAATGGCATCTGCTTGCAGGTAGAGAACATTAACCTTCGTCGATGGTGTAGTGAAACCGATGTTGTCGGTAACAATGGCAATGAATTTTCGCGGCCTGAAGATGACAGTTCGTATAAACTTTTCGGTAATGGTGACAGTAAAACTGTTGCTTTATACACCGTGATGTTCACCCTCATGCTTCCTTTTGTGTTGTACAAATGTCTTGATTATCTTCCTCAATTAAAGATTATCTCCAAAAGAACAATGCCTAACAAGGAGGAGGCTCCCTTGAAGAAGAGAATTGCATATATGGTGGATGTTTGTTTCTCTGTTTATCCTTATGCAAAGCTTCTTGCACTACTTTTCGCAACAATGTTTCTTATAATTTGGTGGTTTGGCCTTGTATGCGGTCACTGTCGGAAGCCTTACCGAAGCTCTCTGGCTCTCATGGACATTTGTGGCTGATTCTGGAAATCATGCTGATAGTGTTGGGATTGGACCCAGGATTGTCTCTGTTTCTAAGTTCAGGAGGCATGCTGATATCTGCAATGATGCTAGGGCTCGTCTCGAATGCTATTTCGGAAAAGGTCGATTCACTCTGAAAGGGGAAGAGTGAAGTCATTGAAAAGACCAATACGCTTATTCTTGGATGGAGTGACAAATTGGTAATTCTCTTCATTTTGTATCTACTTGCAGAAAGAGATAAAGAAGAAATGGAGATGGATATAGCAGGAATTTGGCTTTATGGGAACATCTGTCATATGCAGGAGTGGAAGTCCTCTGATACTTGCTGATTTAAAGAGGGTAATTTGACATCATTATCGTTTACTTCTTTTATTTTCCAATCCTATGTTGAGATCTTAAATCAGTCGAGGGTTACACGGATATTTATATTCTTCCAATTACAGGTCTCTGTCTCAAAAGCACGTGCCATCAGCCCATCATCGTATTAGCATCTGATGAAAATGCAGATCAGGTTGCTCAACTTTCATTTTGATCATGTTTTTTCAACTTTTTTTTCCCTTAGAAAACATCGTTGATTCTGTATTCGTGCCATCAGCCCATCATCGTATTAGCATCTGATGAAAATGCAGATCAGGTTGCTCAACTTTCATTTTGATCATGTTTTTTCAACTTTTTTTTCCCTTAGAAAACATCGTTGATTCTGTATTCTTGTTCCAGAGCGATGCTCGTGCCTTGAGGGTCGTGCTCAGTCTAACTGGAGTAAAGGAGGGTTTGAAGGGTCATGTTGTGGTTGAAATGAGTGGCCTTGACAACGAGCCACTGGTAAAGCTTGTTGGAGGAGATCTCATAGAAACTGCTGTTGCACATGATGTGATTGGCCGCTTGATGATACAGTGTGCTCTACAACCAGCCACTGGTATGCAGTTTGAAGATGTGCTCATTTCATTTCCTGATGCAATTCCTGGTGGAGTCAAGGTTGCTGCAGATAATGGGAAGATAATCATAAATCCAGATGATAATTATGTACTAAAAGAAGGGGACGAAGTTCTCGTTATAACCAAGGATGACGACACTTACTCTCCTGGTCCTCTTCCAGATGTGATTTCACTTTCCATTATATCTCTAGCTGGAAAATAGATGTATACATGCAGGCTGAGAAGTTCTATAGCTAATTTTTTTATTGAAAATCATATCTAGAACAATGGTCCTTAGGTGTCTGTTCTTGTTTGACATACTACATGCAGGTTCGTAGAGTTAGCTTTCCAGAAGTACCTGAACTTCCAAAATATCCTGAGAGGATACTCTTCTGCGGCTGGCGACGCGATATTCATGAAATGATTATGGTAATGCATTTGCTTATTGTTTTAAACTATATACTGCTCTTTCTCGATATCCGTATTGTTATATAATCTACGTACAGAGACATCAACTGAATTCAAGATGTATGGAGCTTAATAAGTGATAACAGAAATTAAGAGATTGGATTTTCTATCTCCTAGAAGATCCAGTCTCATCCTGCTCGATAATGATATGTGAACCCGTGTTTTATTTTTTAGGTTCTGGAGGCATTTCTCGCACCAGGTTCGGAACTGTGGATGTTCAATGGGGTTGCAGAAAGAGAAAGGGAGACGAAACTAATTGATGGAGGACTTGATATTTCTGGATTAGAGAACATTAAACTCGTCCACCGCGAGGGAAATGCTGTCGTTAGAAGGCACATAGAAAGCCTTCCTTTGTAGGCTTTTGATTCTGTAAGTTGCTATATCCAGATCTCTCCAGACTCTTACCTCTTTTAGTAGGCATTTCTCCGAAGAACCATTAGGCTTAATCTCTGTTACCTGGTCATCACTCCGGTATTCAGTCACTCACTCCTATTGTAAGTCAACTGATTACTAACTCTAAAGGACAGATTTTAATTCTTGCAGATGAATCACTGGAGGACTCTGTAGTGCATTCGGACTCTAGATCGCTTGCCACCCTTCTCCTTATTCGAGACATACAGGCAAGTGTTATGCTGTCTTTCGGATTATGCCAACAAACTAGCTTGCCAAAATCCCTGATAATATGAGACAATTTACTGTGCAAACTGGCATCTTTTATCTTCTTGTTGATGTATAATACCAGGTACATATTAGCCATTTCACCGAGCTCAAATGCTAACATGAACAGACCACCAAAGCGGCAAATGATAAAAGAGTATGGAATTAGTAATCGAAGATTTTGGTCATCTTCTTTATTAAGTGGCATGAACAATATTTCGAGGTAGCATTAGGTTTAGTACATGTGAGATTCCCCAGTCCTGATCATTACTATTACTATTGTTTGCAGTCAAAACGTCTCCCTTACAAAGATACAAAGTCGACGGCTTGCTGGATTCTCTCACAGCTCCTGGATCCGTGAAATGCAGCAAGCTTCGGATAAATCGATAATCATTAGTGAAATTCTGGACTCTAGGACAAGGAACCTGGTTTCAGTCTCGAGAATCAGTGACTATGTTCAGTGTCGACAATGTTTTTGCAGAGTATCTCAACTGTTGTAACGTGAGAGCCACGGGAAGTCTGTTTAGTTTCTAGCTTCTCTCTTTTGCAGGGGAATGAGATGTGCATCAAACCCGCAGAGTTCTACTTACTCGACCAGGAAGAGCTATGGTTTTACGAAATAACGATTAGGAGTCGTCGAAGAAGAGAAATTGTTATCGGCTATCGCCTAGCGAATTCCGAGTGTGCAGTTATCAACCCTCCAAGGAAGTTGGAACCAGGAAAATGGTCTCTTGATGATGTTTTTGTAGTCATTGCATCAGGTTCATGACTGATCCTCCTCTGTCCTATATATTTTCGCATTCAACCGTAACTAGAGTTTTACCGAGAAACCTTTCTGCTACTGTACTGGGATTGTTCTCAAGAACACGAGGGTTTCTTTCTTCAAAGGATGATGCCAGATGAATCGCCACAATGCTGACACTATACAACTTAAAAAGAAAAATGGGAGTATCTTAACTGTTGAATTGGTGGTGTGACGTATACGAAGGAGTCGGGATGGTCATGGTTCGGGTCAGATTTTCGACTCACTTGATCTTGACCCATGTATAATATATCTTTTCCAGGTTAGAAAATGAACCGACATGCATGCAACTCAGGGGAAGGAGAAGAATTCACATTCGACATTTATTAACAAAGTTGATAAAATACAACCAATCCAAGCACAAAAATAATCACGAATCGTATAAGACTTACAACCCTTACAATCCCCTGAACCTCCCACACCATATAGACTACGCCTAGAACAAAAAACATAATTCTTCTCCAAATCACATTTCGGGCAACAAAATTGCATGTCAGATTGATATGTCGAACAAGTCGATCACCAATTTCTCCATCATCAGATTCGCCATACCCGAACAATTCATCTCCCTGCCTCCCTTCCCTGCAGTTTTCAACAAATGTTAAAACATTCTAGACCAAAAACCTGTCCCAAACTGATCCATGAGCAACAACACTTGAGTTGTAACCGGAACCGACGGAGTATTTTATATTAAAGAGATTAATTTGAATTGATAAAATTTTAATAGACGAAAACAAACTTTCAATAAAAAATACTAAAATATATGTTCATTTTAAATTTTTACGCGAACACAAACCCCCGACAGGTTCTGACATGACTCAATCCGATCATGTCGGATCTTTTATAAAAAAAATGGGTTTGGGTTGGATTCGGGTTTATGGTGCGATAACATTCATTTATATATTATTTTTTTTCAATTAAATCTCTATTTTTATTGTATATAAAATAATATTTTTAATAGATATATTATTTCAAGTTGTGTTTGAACTTTATCTCAAAAAATCAGGTCGAGTGAAAGGTTTATATTTTTTGATCAGATTCGAATCGGGTGAAGAATTTATAATTTTCAAATCAGATCAAATAAACCAAAAATTTGACTCAACCCGACCCATGTCCATCCGTGGCGACAGCCCCCAATCACCACGCCTAGGTCCATTACAGGGTGTTATAATAGGACTAGAGCGAGGAATGTACCATAAAACGAAGAAACAGCCTTGGTGGTAGAATTGGGTAGCTTGAGAGGGCAAGCTGAGAGCGGAAGAACAGGCAGGTTCTGGCAGTTGCAAATCTCGACCATGTAGCCGTCGGGATCATGGAAGAACAACTGATCCACGGTGATTCCACCTTCCTCCACCACCGCCGTCACGTACTCGATCTTTATCTCTTCCAATTTCCGCATCACCTGCTTCATGTCCGAGCACTGGAACGATATGTGGTTGTCTTTTGGGTTTATCTTCTCTTTCTTTGCCGGAACGCTTTCCGATTCCAGCAAATGGATCCCGATTCCATAGTTGAACAACCTGAAAAAACAAATATCAATTATCTTAATGATAAATTTGCAAGTTTAGTCCTTTTGAATCTAGAGATATGACGGTAATGTAATGATAAATTTGCAAGTTTAGTCCTTTTGAATCTAGATATATGAAGGTAATGTAATGGTAAATTTACACTTTGATCCATCAAAGTAATGAAATTTAAGTTTTCTTCGATTAAATATCATGCAATTAAAGTTAAAACAGTTGATAAGCATGAGTGGAGCCACCCTTAACACCTAAAAGATAAAAATAAAAATAATATTTCTAAAGAATAATAGAAATATTATTTTAAAAATAATTGACACCTACACTTATTTTTTGTCCACTTAAAATTATATTTTAAAATTCTTATATCGTAATTTATTTTTTAAATTTTACTCTTAAATAAAATTATTTCTTTTAATATTTTAAAATCTATAATTTAAATTTTATCAAAAAAATTAATATTATCCTCATAATAATGTACAAGTCAGCCCACATAATTAGTGTATGGTTGGTTAGGTGAATTGATTCATCCACGTGCTGCAAACGCATATGAAGATGGAATGCTTCAGGTAGAATAACAATTAAAATATGAACAATTTTTGTAATAAAAGTAGTGTCAAATTTTATTATTAGTATATGTATAATGTTTAAGATGCAAATTTAATCCTATAACTTAAAAAAATTTGAATTTTGAAATTTCAATCTCATTCAGACAATATAATTAGAATACATGGGGTGAAAATGCAAATTTAAGAATAACAATTAAAATAGGACATGAAGTGATGGTAAAATTCGACTTGATAAGAATCCATCGAGAGATTTAAACGGCAGAAAAGAGTATTATTCTTTTTACAGGTTTCGAATTCGAACAGCTACATTTGTAATGTATGTATGTGCGTTCTCAAGAAACTAAGAAAATTTTAAACAGATATTAACTTGTAATTATATCATAATATTAGACACTTGACAAATTTAATGATTAATGTTTAGATCAGGACCGAAATCTGAAAAGTGGAACAAAAAAATGACCAAAATAGAATATAGCAATTAGATCGACAACTTAGCATAGCATAGAGGCTAATATCGAAATTTGACCTGAAAACATGTTAAAAAAGGTAATTTACTTGTTCAGTACCTTAATTATTAATTTTGATTTATTTTAATACTTAACTTTTTATTTTTTTCAAAATTATTTTTAATATTTAATATTTATTTTATTTTAATACATATCGTTAAAAATTTAACCTTTTATATTTATATTATCAATTTCTGTATGTTTTAATACCTATATTTTTAATTTTTTTAAAAACTTAACAATAAATCTTGAAAAAAATATTAAAATAAAATAAAAATTATATTTTATTTATGATTTTAAAAAACATTGAAAGTTTATAAAATAAAACGGATCAAAATTAATAATTTTTAAATAGTAAACAAACAATTTACCCTGAAAACTAATGGAGAAAGAAGCATTACCAAGCTCCTTCAAACTTGAAAGAGGAAGGGCGTTTGATGAGAACAAATCCCAGGACTTGCTCGTAAAACCTAACGGATCTGCTCACTGATTTGCAGACAAAGGAAACATGGTTGAGAGACAACAAAGGTAGTTTGGTGTCGGAATCTGAGGTTGAAGATGACAGCCATTGCATCTCTTCGATCTCTCCCTCATTTCCCATTCTTATATTCTCTCTCTCTCTCTCTCTCCCCCTCTATAGCTTATCACTTGAAGCGTTGTTGTACTTATCCCAAGCAATGTATTCTCTTGCCAGATGAGCCCCCTTATTTAAAGGCCGAGAACTTCACTGTGCGTGAGCAAAAAAGGGTTAATCTTCATTCAGCATCCTCGAACCCTCGTTTAAATTTTAAATTGATCCAGTGGGAAAGGAGGGAACGTACGGTAAGACAAACAGTACAAATACAATATGTCTTGACTCGGGTTTGCGGTGGCTTTAAATTCACCAGAAGTTGCTTGTTGAAAATGGTTTTTGGATTAATTATATTTTAGCTATTATAACTTTAAGGTATTTATAAGATTAATTCTTAAGGTTTAACTATAAATACTCTAATTTATTTAGTTTCAAAATCATCCTAAAATCTCAAATTATTTCTTTCTCCTAATACTAGAGAGTTTCTTGTGAGTAGTGAGTGTTTTGTAAACACCTGTAAATTTTGTCTCTTAGTAAAAGATCTGCAACAGTCCGGAGATGTAAGTACAATTAGCTGAACTCCGTTATCAATTACGAGTATTATTTTTCTGCTTTTATTTTGCATTCTCACTAATCTGGTTATATGGAAATTACTTGTTACTCGTTAATTTCCCAACAACTGGTAATCAGAGCTTTTGGTTGTGAATTTTGTCAAATTTTTTGTGAGGTTACTATTCACGTGAAAACGATCCAAACGAAGCCAGATTTGAGTGATAGCGATAGCTGCAGACGAAGGGAAGGTGAAAATTGAAAAGTTCTCGATGGTGCAGACTTTGGCTTTTGAAAGATGCAAATTGAAGATTTTTGTACCAGAAAAATCTATATCAACCTCTCTCAGGAAAGCAACCAGAGGGCATGAAGAATGAAGACTGAGTTCTTATTGACAGACAAGCCCTCGGAGTTATCCGACTGACGTTATCCCGCAATGTTGCTTTCAACATAACAAAGGAAAATACCACGGCATGTCTTATGGAGGCTCTCTCCAGTATGTATGAGAAGTCATCGGTCTCAAACAAAGTTCACTTGATGAGACGATTATTCAATTTGCGGATGGCAGAAGGGGCATCAGTGGCTCAACACCTGAATGAACTCAACACAATCACAACCCAGTTGAGTTCCGTGGAAGCTTTAATTTTCTTATCATCTCTACCAGACAGTTGGAATGTTACTATTACAGCAGTTAACAGCTCGTCGGGAAACAACAAATTAAAATTAGATAATGTTCGGGATCTGGTATTGAGTGAAGAAATTCGACGGAGAGAATCAGGTGAATCATCAACCTCCTTAGCCTTGCACACGGAGTCTAGAGGGAGAACTTCAAAAAGAAATTCAAATCGTGGCAGATCCAAATCCAGAACGGGAAAGAAAGATTTTACCTGTTATAATTGTGTCAAGAAGGGTCACTTTAAAAGAGATTGTCGAGCACCGAAGAAAATATCAGCGCACAGGAATCTACCAACGTGACAGAGGAGACAGGTGATGCCATGATTCTAAGCATCACCAGTTTGGTTGAATCATGTATCTTGGATTCAGGGGCATCTTTCCACTCCATCCCATGCCGAGAAATCATGGAGAACTATGTCAGTGGTGATTTTGGGAAGGTTCATTTAGCTGATGATGAAACCTTGAAGATCGTCGGAAGATGAGACATCCGACTAAAGTTGTCAAACCAAACCACCTGGATGCTGAAAGGTGTGAGACATATTTCTGGCCTCAAAAAAATTTGATTTCTGTTAGACAGCTTGCTGGAGAAGGATATAGCACAACCTTTTCAGGTTGTGAATGGAAGATTACCAAAGGAGCACTCGTCATTACTCGTGGTAAGAATATTGGTACTCTCTATGTAACCTCAAATTTAGAGAATATCATTGCAGCCGCAGATGCTGATGGAAAATCAAACCTATGGCACCAAAGGCTTGGTCATATGAGTGAGAAAGGGATGAAGACGCTTTTGTCAAAAGGGAAGCTACCGGATCTAAAGAATATATATGTCGGACTATGTGAGGATTGCATCTTTGGCAAACAAAAGAAAGTCAGTTTTGCAAAGATTGGCAAGACACCCAAGGCAGAAAAATTAGAGTTGGTTCATACTGATGTATGGGAACCATCTCCAGTTCTATCTCTTGCAGTCTCACTATATTATGTCACCTTCATCGATGATTCTACAAGGAATGTGTGGGTTTATTTTTTGAAGAAGAAATCAGAAGTCTTTGATACATTCAGAAAATGGAAGGCCATGGTGGAAAATGAGCTTGGTTTAAAAGTCAAGCGGTTGAGGTCTGACAATGGAGGAGAGTATTGAAACAGTAGATTCAGAGATTTCTACGCAAACAATAGGATCAAGATAGAGACAACAGTTCCCATGACACCACAGCAGAATGGCTTAGCATAGCGCATGAACAGAACTCTGAATGAACGTGCCAGAAGCATGAGGATACATGTCGGATTGCCAAAATTTCTATGGGCTGAAGCTATCAACACTACAACTTACCTGATCAACCGTAGGCCTTCAGTTCCTTTGGATGGTGGAATATCAGAGGAAACTTGGAGCAAGAAAGAAATAAACCTTTCACACTTAAGAATGTTTGGTTGTATTTCTTATGTACACATAAATTCTGCTGAAAGAAGAAACTTGATGGCAGGTCCAACAAATGCGTCTTTGTTGGTTATGGTGGTGATGTGTTCGGTTACTGATTTTGGGACTATGAAAATCGAAAGATCATCAGAAGCAGAGATGTCATTTTCAATGAGATGTGATGTACAAAGACAGGTCAACCATAGAATCAAGTAGCTCCAATACCGAAGATGAAACAAAGGAATTTTTTGAGTTTGAGGAGATTTCTGGAAATGATGTTCAGATTAGTCCTGAAGCAGTTCAAGAAAAACCAGGCACACCAGAACTGAGACGCTCCTCCAGAGTTCCTAAACCAACCTAGCGTTATTCGCCTTCTTTGCACTACTTGTTGTTGACTGACAATGGTGAACCAGAGCGCTATGATGAAGCAATGCAGGTGGAAGATTCAGTAAAGTGAGTGTCTTCCATGAAAGATGAGATGGACTCGCTTATGTCAAATCAGACGTGGGAATTAACTGAATTACCACCAGGCAAGAAAGCGCTCCACAATAAGTAGGTTTACAAGATAAAAGAAGAGCACGATGGGAGCAAACGCTACAAAACAAGATTGGTTGTCAAAGGTTTTCAGCAAAAAGAAAGTATTGGCTATAATGAAATTTTCTCTCCAGTCGTGAAACTGTCTACAATCATACTGGTATTGAAAATTGTAGCTGCAGAGAATTTACATCTTGAGGAATTAGATGTAAAGACAGCTTTCCTTCATGGTGATTTGGAGGAAGAAATCTATATGAAGCAGCCAGAAGGCTTCATAGAGGCAGGCAAGAAAAACCTGGTATGCAGGTTGAAGAAGAGCTTGTATGGTTTAAAACAAGCTCCTAGACCATGGTACAAGAAGTTCAATAGCTTTATGAGTAGCAGTGGTTTTACCAGATGTCAAGCAGTTCATTGTTGCTACATCAAGAGGTTCGACAACAGCTTCATTATTTTATTATTGTACGTTGATGACATGCTCATTGCAGGCTTAGACATGCAAGAGATTATACACTAGAAGCAAGAATTGTCGAAGCAGTTTGCTATGAAGGATTTGGGCGCTGTAAAACAGATTCTTGGAATGAGGATTAAGAGATACACAAAGTCGAGGACTTTGATGTTATCACAGGCTGAGTACATCAACAAAGTACTTTCCAGGTTCAACATGCAAGATGCTAAACCAGTAAGTATACCTTTAGGTGTTCATTTTAGACTATCCAAAGAACAGTCACCAAAGATGGAGGAAGAACGTGCACACATGGTGAAGGTGTCGTATGCCTCAGCAATTGGAAGTCTGATGTATGCCATGGTTTGTACCAGACCAGATATTACTCATACAGTGGGAGCTGTTAGCAGGTACATGAATAATCCGGGCAAGGTACACTGAGAAGCAGTCAAATGGATCCTCAGATATATGTGAGGTACCACAAACAAAGCAATTTATTTCAAAGGTGGAGATACGATACTGACAGGCTATGTAGATGCTGACTTAGCCGAAAATATTGACATCAGAAAGAGCACTACAGGGTATGTCTATACTCTAGAAGGTACTGCAGTAAGTTAGGTTTCTCAACTACACAAAAAATAGTTGCTCTCTCCGTAAACAAAGCAGAATATGTTGATGTTACCGACGCCAACAAAGAGATAGTTTGGCTCCAAAATTTCTTGGAATAGTTAGACAAGAAACAAGAAAACAATGTATTGTATTACGACAGTTAAAGTGTTATTCATCTAGCAAAGAATCCGTCTTTTCATTCCATGACGAAGCACATACAATTACGATATCATTTTATATGGTCTCTTCTGGAAGATGGGATTTTGAAACTTGAAAAGATTAGTAGAGCTCAAAATCCGGCAGACATGTTGACAAAGACGGTGACCACGGACAAACTGAAGTTGTGTTCAACTTCAGTTGGTATGCTAGAGTAGCAAGACCAGAAATGCTGCTGCAATGATCGAGGTGTGAAGACAGATTAAAATCAGTCTTCAAGTGGGAGATTGTTGGAAATAGTTAAGAAAAGTGGGCAACTTTCGGTGGATTTAAATACACCGAAAGTTGCTTGTTGAAAATAGTTTTTGGCTTAATTACATTTTAGCTATTGCATATTTTAGGGTATTTATAAAATTAGTCCCTAAGTTCAACTATAAATACTCTAACCCATTTAGCTTCAAAATCCCAAAATCCCAAATCATTTCTTTCTCCAATACTAGAAAGTTTATTGTGAGTAGTGAGTGTTTTGTAAACATTTGTAAATTTTCTCTCTTAGTAAAAGATCTACAGCAGTCCGGAGACGTAAGCACAATTGACTGAACTACGTTATCAATTTCGAGTATTATTTTTCTATTTTTATTTTACATTCTCACTAATTTAATTATAAAAAAATTACTTATTACTCGTTTATTTCCCAACAGTTTTATTGTAGAAAAG